TTTATGTACTCGTTTAGGCTATCACTGTAATGGTATAAATGTAATACCAGCTGAGCTTGTTACACACGATGAGAAGGACTGTGGATACGTAACTTTGTTCTTGTTTCCCGATCATGTACATGTTCAATTTTCTCTGAACGAAATATATATCGAACGGCTTTTTTTTATATGTAATGGTCCCTTCTGAGTTTTCTAAAATCAATATCGGTAGGGTCAACGCCTATGGTGATTCTACATTAGCGTCGGGCCCGCTTGGAATTTCAAAACAAGATAAATACAAAAAGGTAAGGGTTAAGGAAGCTTACATTCTATAAAAAAAATTGGACCTCCTTGCTTAACACCTGTGTAGGTGTTAAAGGTGCGGCAATACAATTTCTCCTAGAGCTTTAAATGACACAATTACCATAAAATTATATCATCATCGTGTGCAACATATTCCAACAAATATTACACTATTTAAAAAAAATACTGCTCTTTTTATTGAAGATGTAAGCAGAAAAGTATGTGAAATTTCATTTCTTATGAAATCATTCCCATTTTGGACACGTTAATTTGCATAGTTCTTAAACGAGTCTATTTTTCCTACTTACTTAAAAGTTGGCTACCAATAAATTTGTTCAACATCAGCAATTCCAAAAAAATGACAACTGGTAAATTTGTCAAATAACAACTTTGATTTGAAAAAAGAAAAACATAGCTTTCTTTTTACTTTTCCTTTAACTTGTGTTTCTTCATAACCAAAAGTCCGTGGGTCTTGATATTTGGCAAGTTGGATGTTCATGTGAATGGATAAAAGTTTTGTAAACGTTGGTGACCTTGACCTTTGTTCAAGGTCACAAGAATCAAATGTGCTGAAATAAAAAAATGTATGGGGAGCAGATTATAATATATATTTCCTTGCTTTATTTGTTAAGAATTGAAGATGTAAAATAATGATATATTCCTTCATATTTTGTTTAATGTGTGAGCAAAAGAGCAAATAAAACAATAATCAATAGTATACATTTGTTTTCTTTTAGAACATGTGAAATTTCCACCCGATGCTGACACTACCTAACCCCATACCAAATTGCCTGAAGAGCTGCCGTTCTCTTTAGTATGAACGCCTTTAAATATATATGGTTGTGACCTCCATTTAAAAACAACATTTTCTGCGAAGGGATACAAAATTTATGTTCCCTACTTCATTTAGAGAGACGTAATAAATAAGTTACCTGTAGGGTAGCATAAAACAACACATGGCGAAGATAGCACGTCAGATCGAATAGGGTCGATAAGGGGATACTTAATTTGAGACCGTCCCATATACAGAACTTCCTGGTATTTGTTTTCACATGTCAATGGGATAGACAGTTCTATAGTCGAGCCATCTCGTACCAAATGGCCGAGTTGTCACTTGGTGGTCCTGTCTAGAATAAACCCAGTTCTGTTTAAAAAATAATATCTCTATGGGCGGCCTTTGTAGGATAAAGTTCCAAAACTATTAAGTTACTAAAGTAAATAAAAAAAAATTGCACTTAAAGGCAAATAATAATCAACATAATGACAAATAGAATGGCAAAAACGGTTCTCATCGCCCCTCCTTCGTCAAAATGGATCTCCCGTACATGGTTCATGCCCGTGATTTCATTACGAATATTTTAAAGTAGGAAAAGATTCGTTTTTGCACCTAGGTACAACAAACTTGACACTATTGCCAAAACTGTTCAGTCATAACATAGTGATCTTTTACATCATGTACGTTTCCACTTAATACATGCAAATTGTACATTGACGTGAGAAAAGTCATGTAGTTATGTTCAAAGCACCTATTCATGTACACTTTAATTGAAACAAGTCGTTTTCTTAAGGATGTACATCTCCGAGAAGTAAAAACTTTCTCGTATTAAACATTTTTTTTCTAATATGCATTTTTGGAAAAGGGAATTCATGACATAGCATCAAATACAAAAAGAATTATATGTCCGTCTGCTCGTTTTTGTGCTTTGATCGAACAAAGACACCACTTTGAAATAATATGTGATTTTATGTGAATATTGCGGTTTTGAACATTTGCAGGACAAATTCATACGATATCTTCCAATAGTGCCACCAGATCTGTATGAATGTTTACAGAATTGACAAAAATAGTATTTTCTTTTAACTCAGAAAAGCAATTTCAGCTACCCCTACCACTTATCTTTTAATGACAAAATACCAATTTTTTCACGATTTTTTTGCATTTTGAACGCTTGATATAAATTGTACCTGGAGCATGGACTTTCACCCCAGTAAATGTCCGGTCATACAAATTACAAGGTCAAAAACCCCTATTCAATTTAAGTACGTACTTCACAACAAAACTTTAGAAACTGTTCCACACGCAAAATTTCTTGAGTTGATATTTCACATAACCTTACATGGAATAAACACGTAAATCGGGTGAGTTGTTCTGCTAATAAACTGGTCATTAGTTTTTGTGTCGTCTGCGAAGAGCTGGTGACACATATTGCTATGTCGGCGGCGTCGTCAGCACAGAGGTTTTCGTACGATAACTCAAGTTTCCTTGGGCCGATCAAACTCAACCTTCATGCAGTGCTTCCTTACCAAAAATGCTTGCTTGGGAATGCTTTTCAAGTCCGAAGGTCAAAGGTCAAGGCCACTGTTAAATGTACTATAAATAGAAAATCTGTTTTCGTGCGATAACTTGAGTTTCCTTGTGCCGATCAAACTCGAACTTCATGCAATGCTTCCTTACCAAAAGTGCTTGCTTGGGATTGCTTTTCAGGTCGAAGGTCAAAGGTCAAGGTCACTGTTACTATAAATAGATAGCAAGTTCCTTAAAACTCAGAGTATTCTTCCCACAATAACAGATTCTAAAACAAAATGATGCCATCCAAAAACATAATCTATGATTATTGCTTACTTTTAACATTATTTCTTGAAATGAAAAGTGTATCTATTTCTTCGTAATCTCCCAGCTTCCTGCGCAGGCGACACATCCACTTCCGTGGAATTCTTGTTTTAAATGGAATTTAACAGTAAAGAATGAGCAAATTAGGAGTACGGCGTACACCACCTAATTGATTGATTGATTGATTGATATGTTCTACGTCCGACTCAACAGTTTAGTAACTAACTAGAGATGGTCCAGCGCATGTGCAGAGCAGCGCGATGGGTAAAGCGTGATCACTCCCCTCTTTCGAGTGTCTCCGACATATAGGCGAGCCTGGGTTGGCAATTTCTCCAACACAGGCGGTCAGTGGCCAGGTTGTGTCAGTTGAAAATGAAGTATGTGATATGTTTCAACAAATTCTTTGTAAATATAGCACAGGATATTGGAAACTCTTATCACATTTCTGGGGTCAAACTACCCAAGTATCATATATATAGCTATACACGAAAATCAACAAACACCACCTTATCCTTAAGGAATGTGACATAGCTCAGTATACGGATAAGGTTGGACCCAGAAAGGCGACAGGAGTCGACAACATATCCCCTAAAATATTACACCTAACAAAAGATGAACTACTTGGACCAAACATTTCCTTAACAAATAGAACTTTGACTGATGGATCCTTCCCTGACAAACTAAAACTTGCCAGGGTCACATCAATCTACACGACAAAAATATTTCCTACACAAAGGTAACTACAGACCAGTAAGCATTCTACCATCTGTGTCTAAACTCTTCGAAAGAGTCATTTCAGAACAATTGAATGGTTTCTTCGAGAGTATTTTCCCATAGCTTTCCGGCGAGGATACAGCTGTCAGACATCCCTTAAGAGCCATACTCATGGACCTGTCCAAAGCTTTCCACTGCTTTCCACATCATATCATCCTGGAGAGCATATGGTCTGACAGAACATGCAATAAAACTAATTGAGAGTTACCTATATCAAACCGGAAGCAGTGTGCAAAATAGATGAAATATTGTGAAGGGAGTACCTCAGGGATCTATTCTAGGTCCCCTACTCTTTTACATTTTATTAAGGATATATTTTAATCCACAAATGACACTACCCTTCTAAATTATACAAACGATAACACTCTTTTATATACTCACTCATGTTACCATGTTATGAAACAAACTCTTGAAAGAGAAAGTCTGAAATTGATTAAATGGTTTGATGAGAACCAGCTGCAAACAAACCCTGATAAGTTTCAAGTGCTTGCGTTAGGGAAAACAATTTTGACCAGAAACCAATCTTCTCTACTTTGCTAAATTTTCAAAACATATTTCCAATATTTGTTCAAAGGCAATTATATGTTCTCAAACGTATAGGTCACCATCTCAATTGTCAACGCCTTCATTTTGTCAAACTTTAATTTTTGCCCATAAGTGTGGCATTTTTACATCAAGGGAAGTTCTTAGAAACTCGAAAAATAAACTACGGAGCTCTAAAATTCACTTTTCATGATTTTGACTCTAGTTACGAGGTTTAATTACAAAAATCGAATTAAGATATTTTACATATATAGACAGATTGCGAAAAAATAGCCATAGAAACTTTCAAAATTATTCATGGAAAATGTCCACCATATCTGACAGATCTAATTCATGCCTAATGATGATCATTACTCTTTCAAATAGTACGGACAACAAAAAGGTCAACCGCAACAGCTTTTCATACCTATCAGCAAAACTTTGGCGAGATCTACCTGAAAATACAAGAAACGCAGTAGGTCTCGTCAGTTTCAAAAAGTGTATGGAATGCTGGAAGTACCATAATTACCTGTTCACCTTGCTTTACGTAGGGCAGAGACATATAAAGCCAATGTAGACGTCTCTTCGTAGGGGGAAATGTGGCCTGCGGAACCTATTCGTGACGATGATTATCTCCGCAATCTGATATGTTGATTATTATCTACATCACTATTTATTTGCTCTCTAGATTTTGTTCTGGACCAGTTAAGATGGGACTGTTTTTTAAGAAAAAGGAAGATTTTCCATATCCGGTCTTAGATTCCGGAATACTAGTCACGAATTCCGGTTCGAATATTCCCATAACAAAATCACTTCCGGTAACGTCTAAACTGACATCAAATTGTCAACAATAATCATTCCTTTGCTATTTGTTGTTATTGATTTTACTTCCTGGACTGAAAATTGTTATGAGTTAAAGCAAGATCTTTCAGAACTGTATAAGAAGAAAACTGGAGTCTACTGAAGTAATCAACTGTCCTGAGTTTGAGCGTCATCACCTACTGTAACATGTAAAACTGAAAGTGTGAGATACTTGCGCAATGAAGCAGCGAAACACTTGTTGCTCAATTCCGCATTGTCGAACAGAAACAATTTGCTACGCAATATTATTTTAGAACGAATAAATTTCATGAATTGCAGAAAATACAATATCACGTGAACGTTTAATTCACGAAAGAGCGGACATTTGAAAATATTTCAATCCAAATCATGCGTGTACCTTATTTCCTCTGTGTCTGTACAGTAACACTGCGAGTTAATTTCTAAACATTCTTCAACTCAGGGAAGATGGTATTTTGTTGATAAAACTAACAGTGGAGTTATGTTAAGGGGAGTCCGGACTTATATCAATAAGTCTAGTTATGTAGCCCTGGGTGTGTGCGCGTGTAGGCTTATTAAATAATTATAAATAGCTATTACTCATGCTCAGTATTGTCGGAACGGGATTGACCAATGAATATTTTATCAAACTTTATGATATATGCTTCCTTTTGTTTGTCTCCGAAATGGAAATAGAGTCATCCAAAAGAAAAACGTCCAGAAACACACTAAAAAAATAGTACAAGGGAGGTATTATAATACTTCTCTAGATCTACTTCTACTAATTGCTGACCAAATTCAACAGTTGACCATGTGGATTTTCTTTGGGTTTTAATATGTTTGATTTAAAATTTTGTCTATTTCTATGTGTTACCATTGTGGCAGGGTTCAATTGTACATAGGTTTAAAGTCGCCTTCTAGCTTCGAGCTAGAGGGAATTTCCCTTTAGCTCAGTGGTAGAGCGTCCGACTAGGAACCTGGAGATCGAGGGTTCGTTCCCCACTGGAATCACACTATTACTATTCTCTTTCCTGTTACAAATGGTGTCTGTGACCCTCCCTCTGGTGACAGGGAGCTAGAACCTGGGTTGTGGTGTTCGAGGGCGAACACATTTAAAAAGGGGGGAGTAGTGTGGCAGGGTTCAATTGTATATAGGTGCAAAGTCGCCTTCTAGCTTAATTCTGAGCATACCTATATGTAAGTGAGGAGACTACATAATCTGTAACCAATTATACTTTTTTTTTTATTGCAGTGAATTATCAGAATGGAAACTGTTGATGGCTTGTCCTGAGGCGGTATGTAACAGCCCTGTTTTGTCAGACTTACAACACGATGGATCCCTCGTATAGCCCCAGTGATCTGGGTGCAGACCCTCTCATCCTCGAGAATGATGGCAAACAGTTTGCATATCAGGCAGTAGAGAATGACAAGGCCGGAAGATATGACACCGCTATGTTTTACTATAATGTAAATAATCTATACTGACATCTCAGAGACTAATTAATGTATTATAACTAATATATCACAGGCTAATGTATCAATACTGCTCACTGAAATCTTAGACTAATGTATTGATGTGTACAATGCAATTTTGATTGTCTAATTATTTTAAATCCCAACAACTGAGGCCATATTCATGAAACTGTTCTCCTGCTTAAGCACAGATTTTGTGCTTCTTGTAACTCACCTAATCATGTTAAAAAATCAAAATGTCAAATATAATCATTGAAAACAGTATGTTTGCTGCTTTAAGTCTCTTCAATTTTTTTCCAAACTCCTTGATTTTGTTTTTTCATACCTTGTAATCTATAGCTGAAACAAGAAATTAGGCTTGAGCATAAAATCCATGCTTGAACATGAGAACAGTTTCATGAATATGGGGCCAGGTCTATTTTTACCAGGATGATCAAAATGATCATAACAGTATTTTTCTAGAGATTTTTTTTTTTTTCTTCTGATTGTTTTATTTCAATATTTTACTGATAACAGGCTTACGATATTTCATAAATAAAAGATACATAATTTTCCATTCATTTTTCATCGTACAACACTTATTCCTTCTCCTTTCTAGAGATATAAAATCTTGTCATGTATTTTGTAGGAAGCTGCTCAGGCCCTTCTGTCGGCAGCTCTAGCCGGTTCCACCATGACAGGCATCATCACGCGTGCCAATGAATACATTCTCCGTGCAGAGGAACTAAGATCAAGTAATGTCCTGTAGAGAATTATTATGTCAGAAATAGTATAATAAGTTTTTACTGAAAAAGATTTTTTTAAATTTATTTTTTAAGTAAATACCTGGTAAGTATCAAGAAGAAAACATGTTTGCAATTAACACATGATAACACGATAGGATAATTGTTTTTTTTTCACTTAAATATATCAAGTAACATTGTATACATAATATATATGAATTAGCCATAACATCACGATTTTTCATAAGTGATCACTTGTTTTTTGTTTACCTATTTCATGTTGTAGTAATGTTTCATAGTGACTGTTGATCTTTGCTATTTGTTGTGATATGTAAGTGTTCATGTTTATGTCTTAAAAAGGGGGTGGTTTGCCCTGAAAATTTGACAAATTCATTTGTTTGTGTTGTATTAAAATATTATTTTGATTGCAGATCTCCAAGCAGCACCAGCAAATCAGGGACAAAAATCTCAGGAAAAGGTCTGTTTTTATGTTTTGATAATTACCTTTGCATTATTTTTGGTATCAATAAAAAATTGAACGGCCCCAAAAATTGATGTGTATGAATGAAAATTTTGATAAATAAACTAACAATATTTTCATGATGAAATTTTCAGCTATATGTATACATTACACATACATATTTTGTCTGCATGAGAGATAACTTGCATGCTTTATATATATGTTAAGTTTAGATTGAAAATGGTTATCAGAAATACTGGTATGTTTTGGTGGAATGTCCGATTTCCTGTCTGAAATATTGCACACCAGTAAGTGAGACAGCACTCTGAAGTTCAAATGTGTTTGTTTTCCAATTCTGTAGATGGATTTGGAAAGAGCAACATTTCTTCTACACCAAGCCTTTGATGAGGACGAGGCGGGGAACGAGACAGATGCCCGTGAGCTATATACAGAATCCTGCGACCTGTTCCTTAACATTGTATGTCGTATTACAAATAGGAATATAGTCAAACCTCCATAAGTGGAACTTTGCAGATTCATATTTCTCGAATGTGTCGAACTTAAGACAAAGTCCAGATTGTTTTCTTGTATAACATTACTGATACACCATTTATGAATTGAAGTTTGATAAGTCTGTTTTGAACTGCAATAATGGCCTGATTGTTAGGAAAAATTGCAAGTCATAAATGGAAGCAGAACAATTACTTGTACAAGAACAATAGAATGATAACATCTGAACATGTAAATTACAGTGCAAAAGTATATCTTCACATATTTTTTGTAATGACATTAACTTCAATATTTATAGATTTCAAATTCATTTTTTTCATGTGTTCTGTCATTTAAAAAATCATGTTCCATCTTTAAAAGATGTTTGAAATTGATGTTCAAAATTAAACTTTCGTCTCGATGTTTCTAATTTTCTCCGATGGTCCTGCAAAGTTCGAAACATCGAAGTTTGACTGTTTCTATTGTGCTATAATTTTCATTATAACAACTTGCACTCTCTTCAGAAAATTGCATCAGAAATGTTATCAGACTTATTTCTCTTGAACACCTGCTGAGCATGAAACACTTTGATCCCATTCTCATTCAAATTTTCCTCTAGATAGGTTTTATGTGATCTTGAAAGATTGAACATCAAATGCATATGATTTTGTTTTCAATATAATAAGCATGAATTAATAAGCTATTTATAAAGACATGTACAATGGTCAATTTACTTGACAGAGAAAGGCAGCTATGGACAGGAAGGACAAGATACTGACAGATAAGGTCACAGTCATGGCAACAAAGGCACTGGAAAGGTCAGTTACTTATAGACAAGGTCACAGTCCTGGCTACAAAGACACTGGAAAGGTCAGTGATTTATAGACAAGGTCACAGTCCTGGCTACAAAGGCACTGGAAAGGTCAGATATTTATAGACAAGGTCACAGTCCTGGCTACAAAGGCACTGGAAAGGTCAGATATTTATAGATAAGGTCACAGTCCTGGCAACAAAGGCTCTAGAAAGGTCAGTTATTAATACATAGATAAGGTCACAGTTTTGGATACAAAGGCAATGTAAAGGTCAGTTATTAATTGATTTAGTCACAGTCGTGGATACAAAGGCACTGGAAAGGTCAGTTATTTATAGATAAGGTCACAATCCTGACTACAAAGGCTCTAGAAAGGTCGGTTATTTATAGAAACGCTTTTTTAATAATCACTGATCATCATGGCTTATGTGTACAGGGACAAGGCCACACACACGGGATCAAAGGTACTATAGATCAATCAGGGATAGACTTTACCTCTGTATCCTGAAACAACTCTGAAGTGTAATATAAACTTTGTCTTACAATAATTATGAAACAATTTAACCAACTTGCTCATAGAAGCATGCAAAGGGTCTTAATGTGGGAGGAAGTAGGTGAACCTGGAGGAAACCCATGGGACTGAGCAGGTGACCCCATACATTTTCGTGTCTGATTGGGGAAAAGAACAGAGGGGGTCTTGGTGAAAGGCAAGTGAGCTATATCCACTGTTTTTGGGTAAAGTGAAGCCTTCATGATATTTTTTATTTCTTTTATTACAGAGCTGAAGAACTGAAGAAAAGGGAAGAGGGTCCTGTAAAGAGCCCAAATACAGCAAAATCACCCCAGAATGAGGGGAAACCTATGCCTCCATTAGGATATGGGGCGTTTCTTGATGACGAGGATGAGAAAGGTGCACCACAACCTATTCGTCAGAATGTGAGGCCACAGGGTCAACCCTCTACTGGACTGGTCAATGTGGGACCCTCAGGTTATACAAAAGAGGAGATAGCCACCATCAGGTTGGTGACACATATATATCAAATATAGAATTCTCAAATTTGTATGCACAAAGGAGACAGCCACTTCTAGGTCTGTAGTACACATCTTGTCAATATAAATAAGATCCAGAATGTATACAAAGGAGGCGGTATAGCCACCATCAGGTTATGATAGCTAAAGATATCTTGTCAATTTGAGACCTGTACCAGGTTATACAATGTCATAAGTGTATGTGTAAAAGAGAAATTCAAATTACAGGGTTTTTGCTAGGTGCCTATAGGGCTCCGGTACATTCCCAATTGAAAAATGACCCTGCATTTTCCCAATTTCAGTCTTTATTTTCCCAATTTGATTAAAAAGCATGTCTATACAAATTTCCAGTCATTATATATATGTGCAACCTTCAAAGTATAACCATCCATGAAGGAGCATTCAAAATACATAAATATTGAAAATTTGAAACTGAATAAACAAAAACACTGAAAATTGATGTGGTTATTTATTGCTATACATTTTACTGTAAGAAACTTTACAGAGAAAAACTTTTTGCTAATCACATTTTAGGTTTTTTCCCCAAACTATGATGTTTTCCCAAACATGTATGTGTGGAAACATTGATGATATTTTACCAATTCCTGCTCAGGTGCCCTTTCCCAAAATAGCTGGCAAAAACCCTGAGTTATACATCAGATTTTGTCATTAGCTGTGAATGACAAAAAAAGGCCTAATGGATCAAGACATATCTTTGACAGTTTTCTGTTTTGATATTATACCTATACTGGTAAAATTCTGATAATGTGCTTTTTGAATTGTCAATTAATGTGAATGACTGTTGTTTTTTTTAAAAACTATGCAAAATCTTTTACACTCAATAAATTTACTTTCATTTAATTTTACATGGCTTCTTATTAGAAATTTAAAACAGCGTGTGTGTCAATAAAAAAACGGTTGTATGTTTATATTAAACAACAGGAAACGTTCACCCTCCTCAGTTTACACAAATAAGCAAATTGACGGCTTCCTTAACATTGAATTCCCTCTTATTGTTGTACAGGAAAACATCCTTCATCAACAGTCGGGAATATGTGCCTTTTATGAGTGTAGACATGAAGGAAAAGTTTGCCTACCCTATGCCTTTTGAGTGAGTATAATGGAAAGTATAATGGAAAGTCATTAATCTTACAATTTTGGATGCTGTAAATAAACTGCACTTATTACTTAGGCCTTATTTCTCTGAGTAAGTTTTGTATACAACTGAATCGAAGTTAACAAACTTCAACACTCAAATACACAAATGTAGCTGACTACCTTGTAAATATACAGGGGCCATGTTATTACATCTCTCATCCTAGCACATATCTGTTGATGCATTTTACATCATCTGCAGGAAGAAAGGAAGGTGTCATTTGACTATTTTTCCTGGAGTTATGGCCCTTGAAGCTTTCAGTTTCTGCTCCAGAACCCCAAAGTCTGAATACCAGTACTGTACTTAGATAAGAGAAGGCAGGTTGTTTGTCTTTATGAGCTTGCTTACAGTTTCTCAAAATAATTTAAGAATCAATAGAAATAAACACGCACTGATATTAACAAACTAAAAAGTCACTCATTTTCAAAGCTTTCGGGCTTAGCCCTTCGTCAGGGATTAAATGTCACCATACCTCTACATCACATCCATCTTGGCAAACAGGATAACGACGTCATAGTTGCTCATTCTGTTCGTCAAGATGGATATGACGTAGAGGTCCAGTGACATGCAATCCCTGACGAAGGGCTAAGCCCGAAAGCTTGGAAAAAGGGTGATGTTTAAGTTTGTTAGTAGTATTTCACTCCCTATAGGAACTTGTGTTTATAGGCAATATGTATTTATATGTTGATTCATGTGTGCATGATTTTGTCTAGTGTCCTTGCTGAAGCTCTGTGCTGATCAAAGTGGCAGGATAGGATGTTATTTAAGCATTAAACTGCCTTCATTGGAAAGTTATTGTCCTATAATTCTCACAGGATTACAGACAAATTGAATAACGTGCGTTAGCGAATAATAATACACTTAATATAGTGACGTCAACACGACGTCACAAACATGTTCTTCATATCACTACACCAATGGGAATTATGTGAGAATTATGATCAGATATATTTCTATTTTGTTTGGTAAGGTTATATAGTGACAATGCAGAGCAAATGGAAATATTGTAGTTTAAACTAGTTTTCACTAACAACCACACTGTAACAAATCTTATCTGTATATGTGTAATGTTTATTATCCTGTGAAGTAAGATACAGTGGTATCTGAGGCCAATCAAACAGCTATCTTCGTGTCTTCAATTTTGCTATGACATATATTCAAGGGATGTAGAAAGCGAAAATGAGCTTAACCCCTGGATATCGAAGATGATATCAACAGTATATATACTAAGTAAATGTTACTAAATGCTTCAGAAAGTTATTGACCTTTATGATTTAATCAACAGCACATCTTATCTTTGAACTCTTTTTCAAAATTGTAGAGATAGACACGGAAAACTAAGTCTCTCTCCGAAACAGAAGAAGAATTTATCAGGTTGGGTACGACCAGAAGATTTCCAGGATGACCCGAAACTGATTCTAGCTATTTCTAGTTTTAGCATCAAACAAGTGAGTGATAAAACAATTAATTGATAAAGGATAGAGAACAAATTTGAAGATTGTGTTTCACTCGCAGTTCAGGTTACCTCTATTTAGCATTATTTATGTCCTTTGCCATTGAGAAACATTCATTAATCCTTTCACCCTTATGTATCTTTAGTAGACTCTACCATGCATTGATCTGGATGAGTCCATTATGGTCTACAGTGGTGAAAGGGTTTAAGTCATATTCAGCTTTACAATATATACAAGTGTATTGTCTGATATATTGGGTCTACTTGTATTGTTGCTCTATGATTTTTCTGTTCTTTCCGCAGACCAATAAGTGTGACAGCTAGGTTAGCTTTCTATGTTTGAAATACATATAGTGCTATGGTTTGGTTTGGTTTAATTTTGTTTAACATCCTATTTTAAAACAGCTAAGGTAATTTAAGGACAAGCCTCAATGTGTGTAGTGTATGCGTGCTTGCGTGTGTGTATGCAGGAGACAGGGTATGTTGGCGTGCTGACCCCATTGTGATAGCGCGGATGTTCCGATTTATTGACTTTTGTCAAATATTGATGAGTTAGGCAAATAAATTTATCAACTACAAAACTCACGAATGATTTTAGTCAGAATAACTATGTGTAAGTTGAAGTAGAGTGATTCCTGATTTCAAGACACTAATAAGAGTTACGTAGCAGAAGCCTCCTGATATGTATGCCCAGCTTCTCTGTAGCATGGCCTCTCACAAACTTTTACTTTCTAGGTTGTTCATGGCTGCTAGGGACGATGAATTACATATATACAGATTAAATGTTTAAAGGGAGGTAATTCGTTAAACTCAGGTGTTTTTTATTTGTGTTCGTGTTGACTCGCACCATACAACATAGAAGATTCCATGAAGTTCTTCTTTAAAACTATTTTTGAACAAAAATCGGTTTAATAGACATTGGGTAACCAATTGATTGATCATAAAATTTCAACAGATTTCAAAAACTATATACATATATGTACAGTATAAGATTGTTTTTCGCGTCATGTTTACACAAACTACTAGACATAAGATTTTTCAGACTACGTATATATTTGTTCAGATTTTTAGTGTTAGTTCACTTGACCTCACGTATTCAAGATGAATTATTTACTATAGTTAGCCTTCGGTTACAAGCTAACCGAGGGGATATGCAATTACAACAGCGTATTTTATAAGTAACTTCTGTTTGTTTATGTATTGTATTATGGTTTCATGATGACCGCTTTTCTCTGTTTTATGTTGTGACATGTAAGTTTTTGGTGTTCCTGTCTTGATAAATGGGCAGATCACCCTGAAAATTGGACAAATTTATTTGTCTACACTGTCATTATTACTTCTTTGCCGATATATCTATTTATAGTAATACGCATCCAACCGACATTTGTTTGTTTTGATCCAGTGCCAATATTGGATCATACTGTCGTTATTACTTATGAGACCTATATATACAGTACAAGATATACAACTTTGTATATCAGACTGTCCTAGCTAAGTTGTGGTCTATTGTTCACGTTTCACACTTATAGGTAGCTAGGCTAGTTCACATCCCCACAGGTAAATCTTCCCGCAGGGCAGAGTTCGTTGATCAGAGTGTGTCGATCGTAGGGAACAATAACAGCTAGTCTAATGAGGGTGAGTCTAATTTGAAAGGCCGCATACATGCAATATCTAACGATTTTGGCGGGACACTCACGGAAATTGCTTCCGAAAAAATCCTCACTGCGTGAGACCCATTTCTCACGGATTTCAATCGGTCTCACGAAAAAAAACTAAATTTGGTCAATCTTAAGTGAATAAACAATAGCTATATGGATTCAACCTGACCTAGGTCACTAAGAGGTCTGAAGTCACACGCCAGCCACTTAAATTACAGGCCAGGCCAATTAGCAGCATAGGTGTGAAATTTGTGAATGGGTGGCCAGCCGGTCGATTTAGCAGCGCATGCATGGCTTGGTGACTTGCTCAACGATGTGTGAACTGTCAAGCAACTTAATCAGTGATCCCACATCCAGTGGGGGCTAGTTGCTTAAACATTAAACAGCAACATAAGCATTACAACCGTAAACATGCATGGTTTACCCAAACGGAAATGTAAGTCAGGACAATAAAAGGGGAGAAGAGGTTATCAATTTGTGAGAACTTGATGTTCCAGTCGTAAATACCTCTCAACGAGTAACGGAAAAATGCATGCGTAACGGTAAAATGGGGATGCGTAACGGCTCAAAATTCATGCATAACAGTACCACCGGTACCGTCACACTAAAATGGCCTTGGGAGAACACTGCCTAACTGTGTATGCAAACATGTAGATTCAGGTCTAAACTTGAACGAATACAATACCTGGTGCTTCCATTTCAGATTTTCATATGTTGACTCAATTGCATGTACTGTAATACTAATGTACAAGTGTACTAGATATCTAATTAAAATGGACATCTCTTTGTGTTTCAGACTGTCGTGTCCGATTGCAGTTTTGTAGCTTCCTTGGCCATCAGTGCACAGTATGAACGTCGTTTTAAGAAGAAGCTGATCACAAGGTAATTATTACTTAAAGTTGTAACTAATTCAGTCATATTGAACTAATTAAAGTCATTCACTCCTGAAATTTCATGATGGACTATTCCAACAATGAATTGGAAGAGTTCAAATGTGTCTTCAGGGGTTAATGAGTTAAGGTGCAACTGTAAGAAATAAAGGTGTAACTACTGCCTACCTAATTAAGGTGTTAATGTGTATATATATATCTGTTTAATTCATAACGCTATCGCCTAAATTTTGATATGTAGCATGCTATAACACCCAATGTGACATCACATATTACGATGAGATGTCATCATAAAATTAACAGAAATCTCAGTGAAAGTAAAAATACTGCATGATTGGCATATTCACATCATAACACATGTACAACAGTTACCCGGTATGTGATAAACCAAATTTATGTTCCACACATATGTCTTCAAATGCCGTAGCAAATAAGATTTGTTTATTATACTTAGTACAGTATAACCTGTCTTAATTGGCCCCTGTCTAATCCAGATCCTTGTCTAAACCGACTGTGATTTGTGGTCCCGGCATATTCCCTATATAATCACTAGCTAATCTCTGTATAAACCGGACCCTGTCCATTCCGAAAACCGGCGTTGTTTCACAAAAGTTGGCATAGTAATCCATGTCAAAACAACCTGTTTTATACGGTCCTGAAATTTCTCTCGGCCGGCTTCAATCTAAAGCAAACACATTCTAAACAAATTAGCGCTATCCAATGTTGGGTCGCCCTTCATTTGTATTATATACAATGTACTTATATTCTGTATATTTTGTAAATAATTAAACGTTGCCATTGATCCATTTCTTTGTTGTTTATGTTGACACACTTGTATACAGATCGTATGCAAAACACTACATTTTTGTATTTTAAAAAAATGACATGCCGACCTTGTATAAACAGGACACCTGTGTAAACTGGACACATAATTTTGTCCTTGTTGACATTCGGTTTAGACAGGTTATACTGTATACATTCACTCAAGACATGCAATCATGTAATTGTGGATGTATTTCTCGACATATTCCTGCTATCTTATGATGGGTGAAGACATATGGTAATTTTTTTACTCATGACGTCAGCTAACAATGCTTTGCGACATCATCTTCAATTGTGATGTCATGATTTACGGCAATTGTTTCCCCCATCGGAAGCCAACATAGTGTATTTTAAAGGGAGACATATGGCTTTCCAGATAAAATATGAACGTTATGGGAGAAAAAGGACCCCAAACTCGTGATGGTTGGTTATCATATGTTTATCTAACTCTCGTTTGTTAATTTTCAAATTGTAAAAGACTCTCGGTAAACCTCATGCCTTTATACAATTTGAAAATTAACCAACTCATGTTAGATAAACATGATAACAAACCATGGCATCACTCGTTGGGGAACCTCTATTTATACTATGTATAAAAGATCATGACATATCATAGAGAAATTGTTCTTCAAGTTTGGGAAACACATTTTGTATGTACTGGTCTAGATCTGCATAGCTAATTAAATACTTGTTGTGATTTCTTTTGTCCCCAGCATCATCTACCCACAGAACAGGCAGGGACAACCTGTGTATAACCCATGTGGCAAGTACATGATCAAACTCCACATTAACGGAGTCCAGAGGAAGGTAAGCACCACATAATTAATCTTTTAGATATCTTAATTTTTTTGTCATTTAGTACCATTTCGTGCAGTTTGTTGAAAAATGTAAACAATCTTGATTCTTGTCGTAAAGCTGGACTGCAATTTGTACAAAAAATAGTTAAAATATTGATATGGATGAAATATTTTAATTTGTGTTATTTCAGTACCATTTCCTGCATAACTTTTTGAAAATTACGATCAATCTTTATGCTTGGTATAAAAGCTGGATTGTGTGATGTTTCCCCTATGGCCTGTACCAGTCACCATGGAGATACCGGCGAGTATACCTTGGTACATCCTCGATATCCAGGGGTTACGCTTACTTTCGCTCTCTACACCCTTCGAATATGTCATAGCAAAATTGAAGGCACGCAGCTAGCTATTTGATTGGTCTCGGGATTAAAGAAACTGACCAATCGCTAGGCTGATACTTGTCCTTTGAAGATTACAAAGGAGAGACGCCCGACTTCAAAGCCTGTCAATTTTTACCGTTACATGACCGCGAGATTCTTTTGATGTATATCAAAGGATCAAACTAGTCTTCTTGTCTCATCAACAAGGTGGCGCACACTGAGCCTTCAATTTCCCTACGACATATTCCAGGGGAGTAGAGAGCGAAAGTGAGCGTAACCCCTGGATATCGAGGATGACCTTTGTGATGTGTTGTAGGAACACTTATGGTTACCTTGTATATCATGTCAAGCTTTAATTCTACATACATGTTTCTCTGGTCAGGTTGTGATCGATGACTTCTTGCCGATGGGACGGGATGGCCAGCTGCTATGTTCCTTCTCCAATAATAAAAACGAACTGTGGGTGTCACTGCTTGAGAAGGCTTACATGAAAGTGATGGGAGGGTATGACTTCCCTGGCTCTAATTCAGTAAGTAAGACTAACAGTGCTGTATCAGTAGACTTACATGTACAGTGTATATGATGGGAGGGTATGAGTTCCCTGGCTCTAACTCAGTAAGTAAGACTAACAGTGTTGTATCAGTAGACTTACATGTACAGTGTATATGATGGGAGGGTATGACTTCCCTGGCTCTAATTCAGTAAGTAAGACTAACAGTGCTGTATCAGTAGACTTACATGTACAGTGTATATGATGGGAGGGTATGACTTCCCTGGCTCTAACTCAGTAAGTAAGACTAACAGTGCTGTATCAGTAGACTTACATGTACAGTGTATATGATGGGAGGGTATGACTTCCCTGGCTCTAACTCAGTAAGTAAGACTAACAGTGCTGTATCAGTAGACTTACATGTACAGTGTATATGATGGGAGGGTATGACTTCCCTGGCTCTAACTCAGTAAGTAAGACTAACAGTGCTGTATCAGTAGACTTACATGTACAGTGTATATGATGGGAGGGTATGACTTCCCTGACTCTAACTCAGTAAGTAAGACTAACAGTGCTGTATCAGTAGACTTACATGTACAGTGTATATGATGGGAGGGTATGACTTCCCTGGCTCTAACTCAGTAAGTAAGACTAACAGTGCTGTATCAGTAGACTTACATGTACAGTGTATATGATGGGAGGGTATGACTTCCCTGGCTCTAACTCAGTAAGTAAGACTAACAGTGCTGTATCAGTAGACTTACATGTACAGTGTATATGATGGGAGGGTATGACTTCCCTGGCTCTAACTCAGTAAGTAAGACTAACAGTGCTGTATCAGTAGACTTACATGTACAGTGTATATGATGGGAGGGTATGACTTCCCTGGCTCTAACTCAGTAAGTAAGACTAACAGTGCTGTATCAGTAGACTTACATGTACAGTGTATATGATGGGAGGGTATGACTTCCCTGGCTCTAACTCAGTAAGTAAGACTAACAGTGCTGTATCAGTAGACTTACATGTACAGTGTATATGATGGGAGGGTATGACTTCCCTGGCTCTAACTCAGTAAGTAAGACTAACAGTGCTGTATCAGTAGACTTACATGTACAGTATATATGATGGGAGGGTATGACTTCCCTGGCTCTAACTCAGTAAGTAAGACTAACAGTGTTGTATCAGTAGACTTACATGTACAGTGTTTATGATGGGAGGGTGATTTCTCTGCTTGTTACTCAGTACCGGTACTTTTCAGTCTAAAAGTACGACAGCATTGTTGTGACCTTGGCCTCATAGTAGTCAGTATCCATGACAACTGTTGCCTTCCCCTTGCCAGCTGGTAGTATGGTAATGGATTTATCTCTGCCTAATGTTTGGAGTGCGACTCGTTCTACTTTCGTCATGTTACTTGTTGGTAATTTCCTGGATTCGTGACCAAGTGTGAACAAAGCGTAGCTGAATTGAGTCATTTCGGTACATATATAACAACTATATTGTACATACATTTCCAGCGTAGCCGAAATCGTCATCGAGTTTATGGACAACTCGAACACATTTTACACCTTTGTGTGCATACGCTTCACTGGTCATTCGTCTGATGAAGGTGACAGTGTACATATTGTACTAGTCATGGAAACGTCACATAGAAAATTTTATGTTGTGTAAAAAAACAAAAAAACTTCTGATAATATTCCAGGGGTGCACAGAGAGAAAGTGAGCATAACCCCTGTATATCGAGGATGCATGTAGTTAAACCAGTCCAATGATGTTTGTTTAGTCTCCTGATTTTAAGTGTTATTCAGCTTTTGATGACAAGTGAGTATATATATAAGCATGATCATTTGTTTACCCAGAGTATAGACCTACACGCTTTAACTGGTTGGATCCCTGAGAGGGTAGCCTTGCGCAAAAAGTCCAAGGACTTTGATGCTGACAGAGAATTCCGACGGATATTAGATCGTTTCCACAAAGGCCACTGTCTCATCACCATAGCAACAGGAGAACTTTCGGAGGACGCAGCAGACCGAGCCGGACTTGTACCAACTCATGCCTACGCAATGCTGGACATAAGAGAAGAAATGGTATTTGCTGTAATTCAAATTTTCCTGCAGAAATATGTTTTCATGTGTCACTGATTATTTGTAATAATTTGAAGATATTTTAAACGTAGTTGTCTATGACAATTGTCTATATCGATCTGTGATATTATATTTTTTCATAATTTCTTAATTTCTTGATTGTTTCTTTGATAATTGTTTTCTCATCAGTTTTAAACAGCATTATCCCCAATATGTGATAATTCTCAAATAATTAGTATATAAGTAAATTTAACATTTTTTTTAATTCAGAGTTTTATAGAAGTATTCAGAAATAATTGTCTTAGTCTGAATATCAATTAACTAATTCATTAATCAATATGAAAATGATACCTACCTGATATATGAGATCAATTAATCTTTACCTTGTATTCTGTGCAGGGGAAGAGATTGTTCATGTTGAAGAACCCCTGGAGCCACCTGAGGTGGAAAGGCAAATATGCCGAGACAGATATGGCAAATTGGACACCTCAGTTACAAAAACTCCTCAACTATGACCCAAAGAGTGCTCAGACCTATGACAATGGTATGCTGACCTACACTCACCTACAACAAGGGGAGGGGATGGGAGGGGGGCACCTACAACAAGGGGAGGGGATGGGAGGGGGGGACCAACAACAAGGGGAGGGGATGGGACGGGGGCACCTACAACAAGGGGAGGGGATGGGAGGGGGGCAAATCTAATGTTTGGTTTGGTTTAGTATTGTCTAACGTCCTATCAACAGCTATGGTCGTTAAATGACGGCCTCCCCTGTGTGCAAGATGCATGTGTGTAGTGTATGCTTGTGTGTTTTGGGAGGCTGCGATATGTTCGTGTTTGTCTCCTTGTGATAGCACGGAACTGATGCTGACTTTATAGTGCTTCCTCGCTGAAACATACTGCCGAAGACACCCAGCGCAGGACACCCCACCCGGTCATATTATACTGACAACGGGCAAACCAGTCGTCCCACTCCTAAATTGCTGAGCATTTAGCAGGAGTAGAAACTACTATTTTTACAGACTCTGGTATGTCTCGGCCAGGGGCGAATGCTCAACTAAAGGCCAAAAGTGAGGCATTGTTAAGGGAGACATTAGGAAGAAGAAAGTTGTTTAGAAAGAAGAGAAAAGATAAGATCCCAAATTTAGTTGCCTCTTACAATCATGCAATGGGGGCGGCAGGTAAAATTCTTGCGTCCTACCTGCAGGGACCCAAATCTAATGTATGTGAGGAGGGTTTGTAGGGGTTGGGTGCAGGTGGATATGAGGTTGTTTGGTATTTTTTTCTAGGGTAATACTAGTTGCTATAAAAGTGCTTATATCAAATGAAATTGATGTGTGAAATGTGTTTCTATCAAATAAAACTGATGTGTGAAAAGTGAACTAGCTCAGTTGCGAAAGTTACTGAAACTGCTTCTGTCATCCATTATTTTGTGTATTGTGTTAAAACCAAAGATCTTTCATTCAATGAAAAATATTCATCTTATTCAATTATTTTGTGAATCAGCGCTCTGGAAAGTATACTATTACTAATGGCTACAGATATTGGTATGTTGTTATGGTCAAAATTAGTAATAAAGACAAATTTGTTTATTTACAGGTGTTTTCTGGATAGACTATGATTCCCTCCTCCATTTTTTTGATGTTATATACCTCAACTGGAGTCCAGAACTCTTCAAATATACACACTGTGTTCACTCGTAAGTGGTCCGCACGGTCAGGAAAAGGGCAACTGCCTGGTCCCGGTTTCAGCATCGTTCATTAACTTCAATGTTTCCTTAACTTAAAATTGCTAAGGAATTCCTTAGCTAAGAATACTTTCCTTAACTTAACCTAAGCGGCCTTAATGGAACTCTTTTGGCAGAACTCAACTTTTGAGCTAATAGCTTTAATATTTAAAGTTCAACACTAGTGACAACTGTCTAGATTCATAGATACGTACCTGACAAAGGCTCCAAAAGGCATGTTTTGGCAGGTTTAGTGGCATATATAAGATCGTAACGGGCGTCTGCTTTTGACAACCGGAAGTTTACAAGCCAAACCGGTGAAGTGGGACGGGAACACCCCCTGACTTTTGACCCCATATCAATCTGCCATCGCATATTAAAATTTACTAAACATATACGTTGCGTTTTTCTAAAGTTAAATATCTATAGAATTCGTTCAATGTGAAATATGTTGACAATTACCCATTATAATTACTCAGAGGCACTGTATTTAACAGCAACACATTTTAGGTAGGGATTACAATCGTATGAAACACTTGCTGATTGGCTGATTTAGTTGTGCGAGTCCTAAATGCAAATGCGTCAAATAGGCATGGTTGCATTTGTGGTTTTGAAACTATCATACTTGCGTAATAAATTTATGAAAAATAATTGAAAAAAATGGAAGTTTAGTAAAAAAAAATAAAAAAAATAAAAAAAATGTTTTGTTTGATGAATTGCTTGGTATTTCAGGACTTGGACAGCTAAGGAGGGACCAAAGAAAGACTCTTATAACATCAGTGACAACCCACAGTACAGACTGGACGTCAAGACAGCACATCCAGCAGCCATCTGGATATTGCTGACAAGGCATATCACAGACAAGGTAAAGGTCAAGGTCACAGCTTATAATTACTGCAAGTCACCTACAAGGTTGGAGTCGATTGCAAGGTCACAGCTTGTTGCCATCGAGATATTGCTGATGCAGTATTTCACTGATAAGTTTTTTCGGAAATATGAATGGAGACAGCCATTTTCTCTACTTTTTGTGACCTCGATGCTGATTTGCTCATCATAGTTAGAAGCCAATCATAGTTTCTTGTGTCGATAAATTCAGGTATCAAACTCAGCCAAAGGCTATAATTGAATATTGAAGAAAACGAATATTTTCCTTTCAATCTAGAATGCTTCCCGCATGATATTATGACAAAATTAGATGTTTTTGGGAAAGGGTCATTTTACTATGGGGACGGAGTGTGAGCAACCTTGTTTATATTATGGGTGTATTGACAGAAAAGGCTTTAACCTGTGCTTACAGTCATCTGGTTACTACTTGTGTGATATTTAATAGAAAATGTAAGAGCCCAATGGCAAACACAAGATTCTTCATATCACAAACTCGATACATGTTTACACCATCTCTAAAGACTTATGAAAAGTTCTTTTCTTTTTACACAACCAATAAAATTTTCTATTTGACGTTTCGATGACTAGTATGATATGTACACTGTCACCTTCATCAGACAAATGACCAGTGAAGCGTATGCACACAGAGGTGTAAAATGTGTACGACTTGTCCACCAAATCGAGTCGATTTCAGCTACACTGTAAGCATATGCACAATAGTTGTTATATATGTACCGAAATGACTCGATCCAGCTACACTTTGATTAATACTTGGTCATAGATGTGCGAGAGTGCGAGAGTCTCTTAAGACATTTGCTGTAAATGGAAGTCATCGAAAATTTGCTGTTGTACTGTACAAATTTACTAAGTCAGGGAACAAAGAGGTCATCTAGAGGTCATGAACTTGTAGGTATAACATCAAAGTAAGATTATAAATATTGCCATCACTAAGTCTGGCTTTCTCCCTCTGATATGAAAAAGAGTTTTATTGAAGTTTAAATACAGAAGGTGATAAATCCTTTGCTATTTATGTGAGGACTGAGTGTAAGATCTTTTTCTTTCCTAGGATGATTTTGCAGACAATAAAGAGTTCATCACTTTACTGGTGTACAAGACTGGCGGTAAAAAGGTCTTCTATCCATGTAAGTATGTACAGTTGTCTTGGAGGTTTTCTTCTAATAATTGATTTAGTTACATTTTTATCAGAACTGGAACGGCATGATCACCAGCAACTCAATCTGTTAGAGCATCTATCTAGAGTTCAGAAGTCCCGGCTTTGGTCGTTGCATTTTTAGCTCACCTGCCCGAAGGGCAAGTGAGCTTATGTTATGGTGCGGGGTCCGTCCGTCCGGCGTCCGTCCGGCGTCAACTTTTTGCTTAAAACAACTTCTTCTCAATAACCAAAAGGCCTAGGAAGATGATATTTGGCCAGTAGCATGCTGGGATCAAGTGCTACCAAGTTTGTTCGAATAAATGACCTTGACCCACTTTCAAGGTCACAGGGGTCAAATATGTTAAAATCTTCAAACAACTTCTTCTCAATAACCAAAAGGCCCAGGGTACTGATATTGGGCCTGTAGCATGCTGGGATGAAGG